CCTCTGCAGCCAGCGCGAGGCTCCATTGGCGGCGCCGCCCACGGCCCTCAACAGCTCCCCGCTCATTCGCTTTGCCTTTGCCGCTCCTAACGCCCGCGGCCGAAAGAGGCTTTTACTCGGGACGGCCGATGCACACAGCTTTGTGGTGCGCGGAGCGAGACCTCCATGTGCGTAAGTGCTATTAGACACCAAAGTGAAAAAAAAAGCAGGAACAATTTGTTATTTACTATAGAGTAGACTTTTCTCTACGTGTGGTTCAAACATCGTCAATTTATATTAATTCATTTTTATGCTGTGGTGTGAGAAGTTTTGCGCGTAGCAGAAACTTTTCCGCCCGATATGACTGCAAGTTAAATCCTCACATTGACGGCTACGTGTTCGAAAAGTACTGAGTCAATGAAACTCTCAAATAACACGTCCATTACACAATAATGTTCAGATGTATCTGTTGTCAAGCATTTATTTTGCAGGTGCAAGAACTACATTTTTTAAATGTTCATCCCATTTTCCGGACGTCCTGGACGTGGTCGCTGAGCTGACGGGTGGTTGCAAGGTCCTTTTCGTTACGGTCGAAGCGGACTCGCAAAAGGCAGCCTGAGCCCCGCCCGTCGCAGGGGCGTTCGAGCTCGCGCCCCCGCGTGCGTCCTCCGGGAGCCGCCCTCGCCGCCGCCGCAGCCACCACGGCCGCTTCCCCTCGCACCACCCCGACCGCAGGCGGTAAATCGGGCGGCCGCGCAGCCGACGGGGGCGGCGGCGGTGGGCGTGACGGAGGGCGCTACCTCCGCAGCAGTTCATTTCGCAACGACCACCGCGCCCTATGCTCCTACCCCTCCCCGCCCTCGCTAGATACTCTCAGCCCACAGCTGCAAACTTCCCGTCCTGTCTCGCCACTCCGCCTCCGCTATCCGCTTCCCCGCCACGCGCCTTCTCGCGGTCTCCCTTCGCTTAGCTCTGCGCTTCTCCTCTCCTCTCCTCTCCTCTCCTCTCAACAATTTCCCCACCCCGCCCCGCCCCTGTTTCGCCTCCGAGTGGGGCTTGTTACCGCCCAGCGCCGCCCTCTTCCCACAGCCCAGAATGAACGTTCGCGCAGCCAACGATTTTTTTTTCGGGAAACCCAGGCCGGGGCAAGTAATTGGAGTGCGGCGAACATTTCTATACCGATATGAGAATTCTGACAAAGAGAAATTGTAAGTCGGAACTCAATTCGTTCACGCCGAGAGCAGGTCGTTTGATATTTACAGTCTCTAGACACTCCTTTTCACGGCGCGTGTTGTCAATGACACTTTAGGACTAGAAAATGCTTTAAATATTAACGGCTTTCTTCACGAGAAATATTATTCTGACAGAAATTAACTGCCTGTAAGCTGTACATTGACGAGACAGTGTGCAAAAACGTATTTCTGGGAGAATCAAACCATTTATTCCTGGAACAGAATAACTTCTGAAAAGTTCAATCGTCTGTATTTAGGATATTAAAACCAAAGCTGTTTATCTTTCTAATTAAGAAAAACGATTAACTGCAATCCACATACCTCGTGTAAACGTCTTTCTTTGATCTACAGTACATACCGATCCTAGAAATATCGGAATAAAGTCTCCAAAACAGTTGCTGCTACCACTACGTAGAAGCTCCGATGTTTTATAAAGTTATTATTTTTATTTATTCTACGGAATGTCCCTTTTGAAACTTTATACACATAAAGCTTATAAGCAAATATTTGTGCCGAGTGACGTGTGTTTAACTTTTACATAATCTATTTGCAAATATGTATGGGCTGCCCTACAAGCGAAGAAGGAACACTATGTCTGACACTATCTCCTTTGTTTCACATTATTTGGTTTAAACATCCCAAGTTTCTCACAAGACGCGACGCACGTTGGGGGACTTCAAGTCAGCTTGTTGAATTCCTTGGCATTCTTACTTTATAACCAAGTTACATTAATATTTTTTGCATAATATCCCTTCAAATATTCACGCCAGAAAAAATAACGTATCTAAACTATAATCAGGAGGTCCATTCATTAAAAATCTTCAGTATTTAAACGGCACTAGAACAATGAGCTAATGAAATTTTAATTTTAATAATTACCAAAAAAAATATAAAATGATATCTAATTTTCTACAGCAAAGTACATCCGAATAATTGCATCATAATTTTTATGAACTTTTATCTCACAGAATTAGGTGGTGTGTTTCCTTTGAGAACGCATGAGAGCGCCAATATCGGCTATGAAACAAAGAACAAATAGCAATTGCGAAACTCCACCCCAATAACAGAAACGGCGTTGGGAGGATGTAATACTGAAAATCCAAATTGAGCAGACTTTTTCAATAGCTTGATTCGAACACATTATTAACGCATCATGATGAGCTAATTAAGAAAAATTCGCTTCAGTATGACGCGGTTGTAGCAGTCCAATGTTTTATTCACCTTCGAAAAAACAGGTTTGCAGCCCAAACTAGTGCCAAGGTTTTCGCAAGGCAAATGAAAGATAACGCTAAAGAGCTGGGCAAACGTGTGCGCATGCATTAGTGAGCGAAATGAGTCACGTCACTTCGCGTGGGCTTGAGTCGTCCTTCCACAAGCGTTCTGGCCAAGGGCAGTGACGACGAGTGGCCGCAATCAACCTAAGGCATTAGTACAAGAAAATGAAATCATTTGAAAACAAAGAGTTATCGGAAACTGAAGCTACACCCTTTATTAATTTCTTCAGAGGAAGAAAACCTTCATTTTTTAGAGTTATGATAGGGACGCGACGCGATGTAAAAATTTATTGGTTAATACAAACAACTTTTATATTACTTTAAATGAATAACGTGAAAGATAAATTACGAAGAAATACAAACACATAATAATTTACAATGTGAGATTGTACGCGCAGTATTTCATATAAATTTAATACGTATTACACTCGTTTGTTGTCGTTTAGTGTTTTATATACTATTTCCCTTTCTAATTTCTGTACCCCTTTCAAGTGGATTAATTCAAAATCTACTCGCAAATCAATTGATTAGCTGAAACGTATTGAGGTTGCAGACAAGAATCCTGGCACTGACGCTTTTCAGTTTATTCATTTCATTAAATTCGTTCCAAAAAGACCCCCCGCGTAGTGAAGTTTCCACTATATTCGAATCATAACTGTGTTTATCAAACATGTATTAATCAAAATATTCGAGAATGGAACTTCTGTTTCTATTCACATCCTCCATTTATCAGAGTTCTCATGTATTCCTCCGCCTCTCATCATAACACAGTCCAATGATCAATACTGTATATCATACCATTACTCAATTACAATTCTCGATAAATGTTGGAAAGGTTCCAGAATCGGGATATATTTATTTTACGTAATTTATTCAAAGCTCTTCCAAGAACAATATTGATCAACAGAACTCATCATTATGCTATAAATTACATACTACAATCTACGTACTACTCCATTATCACATTATCACATTTTAGTACAAAATCAGAAAACGTTTTGCATCAATAAAGAGAAAACCACACTGTGGAGTTGTTAATGAATTCTATTTATTTTGATTTCGGTCTATAAATTACAAAAAGAAAATAGTTTTCATTGAATATATTTCACAGCTGCCCACAAAAAGGAAGTAAGTGAACGCGTGGTCTCAACGCATTGAAACAAATCCATTCCTTTCATAATAAAAGAATACGATAGTAGATAATAGATAAGATAGTAGATAGTTACACAATTTATGCATGTCAGAATTTGTCATTCTGAATTTATTTCTTTTTGGTTATTCGAAAAAGAGCGTCATTGACAGAAAACAAGCTATAATTAAATTAATTTCACTATTATGCATCAACAAGCTAAATGTTCCCAAAACATGAATTAAGTATCCGAAAAATTAAGCGAATCCGAAACCATACATTTCTAAAAACAAACTGATGCATCTATTTGCATTATCCTACTGCACTTTTCCAAGCAAACTTGACGGAAGTTTAGAGAAGTTGACTCTATGTTGTGGCACAATCCAATTTAATGGAACATTGAAAATATTTCTGTAAATGGAATTAAAAAGGCAAGAAAAATTTCGAGTTATAGAATACTTCAAAATAACAAAGCACAAAAGATTTCAAGATATCGAAGTGTTTAATAAAGTCAGGGGAATATGACAAAATTGTACATATCAAGTAATTCAGTTTACCTGGTGTATACTCAAACTCAATCCATCTAATTCCTCAATATCTCATTATTTTCAACATATTCGCATGTACACGACTTGCAGCAACTCGAACGTCGAAATGTTCGATAAATCGAACTTGTTGGTAGTGCGAGCCTTCCATAGGCGAAAAGCATGCCTCCTCACCTGAGGCAGCAAAAGGGACTCTCCTGACAGCCAACACTCGAGTAGAAGTGAAAGTTGCAATATTTGCCAACAGTTATATAAGAGATGAGCAGATTTCGGAGATTTTGACATCATCTCCAGGTGTGGGTGATGGGAGCAAATATTCGAACGAGGTTGAAGGCAATACTTTTCATCCCCATTTGTTTCAAATGCCAACAATGTGTCACCAGAAGATCAACCGTGGGCGACCCGGTGAAGTAGCGAGACTATGCACATTCCACATCCGGGTGCCAGGGATGAAATCCTCGCCGATTGAAGTGGAATTTGTGGTGGGCAGATGGGGTTCTGAAAGTGCTCCCGTTTCCACTCATTAAACCGTTCTCCGCCATTACTCATTCTAATCGTATCATTATCACCCAGCACTCAAACCTCTGGTATGGCCGAAAAAGCTAAGATCTGAGGATCCATAATAAGAATAACACGCACCCGACTTCTCAGAAACGAGATGGCGATTTTGGAGTCTTTGAGAGGGCGGACTGGCTGAAGCGCTGTCAAAGAGGGCGCGAGTGAGCCTGGGCGAGGGACAAACGCGGCTCTCGCGCGGTCACCGCTGTGAAACAGACCGCACGCACCCTGCGGCGAGGCGACGCGAGGCACTGCCTCCAACGGCAACGATGGGTTTCGTAATGGTGGTGTAGGTGATGAGCTTGTGATGACAGCGATGGTAATTGTGGTGACGACTACGGTGAAAAAGTCGGTAACCGTTGGGGCTACGATGATATTAGATGTATAGGCAACTTAGATCACACGAATACATAGAAAAGATGCAGAAGGTAAGTAATTGTTGGTGCAGAGGTACAAGTTATCAGAAATTATGGTGGTGGCGGAAGTGTTGCTAGGGGTGATAATAAATGGCCATCGTTAATGGAATAAGGAAGCGATAAAGATGAACGCGATAATAAGAAGGCACGGAGAGTTAAATTATAGTCAACTGGTGATAAACAAAAGGAAAAAAAATATACAGGAGAAAATTGGTAATAGCTACTAATTTAAGTTTAGCGTTAGAGGGGACATGTGGGTGATAAATTCACTGAAGATACTCGAATATGGTATTGTTTGATGAATCACATAAGTAATGGAATGTAATCACACAATTCACATTGAATGAAGGAGATGAAGGAGAGGGTGAATGCAGGTTCAGTTTTCGAAAGGCAACGGACCTTTACAGCCGATACTACTAACTAGAAATTGATATCATTCTTGGCACGCAGTAGAAAAGTTTTCAAAACATTTATAATTAGCTATTATCCATTAATGTGCAACGCTTGTTCTGTTCAGAACCTGCATCCTCCCGAACATTTGGACCTACAGCAGGCATTACGCTCAGTCTGTATCGCAGAGGCAAATACTGTCCAACTGTTGGCGTGACAAATATAGTAGCACCTAATCATCACTAAATCTTCACCTATCACGAGCGATCAGGGTTGGTCCTTTGGAAATTCACCAGCAACAGATTCATTTGCTCCGGTGAGGTCTCAAAGGTGAGGAGGCGCTGCATGTTTACCCGTACGAGGAACGTTGCCAGCACACTTGGGTCGAATCGGATGGTGAACAGGCATTTCGTTTGGCGAAAACGAGATAAAACACTTCAAAAAGATATTATATGAATTTCTGATATTGTACATAATAATACGTAATTATTGTAAGTTTAATTTATGGTGTATAGTGTTCAGTGAGTTTGGAAGAAATTATGCTCGTTTTTACCAGTCCAACAAATGTCAAATGTTCTATTCTGTGTTATTTCCTCCAGCAGCAGTTCTATTCTCCACTTTCCTAAATACAAGTATAAAAGCAAGCAATAAGTGATTGAAATAAACATTTAAAGCAGGCGAAAAAAGACTCAGCATTTCACTTTCAGTATCTCGTTCTACTCCGAAGACCTCATCCTACTAATGTGTGTGTGTGTAGTTGGAGTAAACAGTTTCTACGGGTGCGAATATCTAAGAGGAGAGAAAGGAGTGACTTATTTCGCGCGTGTGACGTAAGAGACGAGGCGCAGGTTGTTCGTGAGCTGAAGAGCCGCGTGCAGGTCGTGACGCTGCCGAACCCAAGAGCAGAGCTCTCCCAGGCGAAGACGGCGGCAGAGATGGCTGTGGAAGAGTCAGAGAGGAGATGAGGTCGAAAGGAAAAAGATCGCGAGGATAAGATGAAATTGACGAGGCGGGGAAAGAGGAAAATAGAAGGCGAAGAAGAAGAAAAGAAGACGTCGGGAGAGGAGGCGTAGGACGAGAAAGTAGCGGTGGAAGAGGAAAATGAGGACACGGGGGTGAAGGAAGAAGAAAAAAGGTAGGCAAAGAAAGAAGTGGGGAAGGAATAGGAGGCAAAGGCGAAAGAAAAGGAAGCGAATGAGGACGAGGATAAGCAATGAGGCAGAGGCAGAGGCAGAGGCAGTATGGCGCCAGCGGTGGGAGAAGCAGAGGCGAAAGCAGTCGTCGGCACTCAACGGCAGAGGGAGGGTGGGGGCGGAGGCGGCGGTAGCGTCCAACGCTCACTCAGGCGGTCGGCGCGCTCAGGTGAACGCGCCGCATTTGGGCTCCGCTCGACGCGACGCGGCGCGGCGGCCAACGCCACGAGATCCACGCGCGCGCCTACACGCCCAAGGTCAGCGCGAGGCGACGGCCCGAGCTTCCAGCAGCATTGAGAAAATAGTCAACGCTTCGTTAATGAAGCACAAATTAGAACGCCATACAGCGACATGGCGGCACGAAACTTGGAAGGGTCTCTTCTCAAACTGTAGTAAGAAAACATTTTAAGAGCACTTATTGATCATTTTTATGACGTTTTAGGCCATCAAATTCTGCTACCTAACTACGACTATACAAAAATATTTATTCTGTCTCAAAATGGTACGTGATAAAGATTTTTTTTATTTTTAATTCAGCGCAGAATACCCGAAAAAGAAAATGCGATAAAAGTACTACTAGCAGAAAAATAGTTTCCTTTTGTACACCACTCTTATTTCGACGGGTCTATATTGTTGAAGCACAATATGTAATATTTAATATAATACTACCTTCAACACTTTACTTTCCTATAAAAAGATCTACGGTCAGGAGGAAAACGTTTCTCTGAGGTATCGCACAGGCAATTAAGCATTACCGAATCAGAAAAGATTATTTTCATTCTTATTACAAACTTTACACTTCGAAACACACAAGAGAAATTTCACTCCATCCTCTTCACTTTCCCTGCCCGGTCCCTGGCTCATCTTTATCCCCTTCTGCTTGCTTCGCTAAATCGATTTGCGTCCACGGTTGCTAAAATATGGAAATTTGAAGCTATTCCGGAAACTGCGGCTGCATGGAGTTGGGAAATGAAAATTGAATCGATTTCGGGTAAGCATAAAAGAATTTTCCAGCCCATTTTACGGGATTAGAACGGCCATGATACATAGCCAAAATGGTTTCCAGTAATTGCTTCTCCTCCTCGTCCTTTTCTTTCGTATTGAAATCTCTCGTATTTCACCCTTCTCCAATTAATAACCCCGTCGTTTCGATTGGCTTCTTCCGCAATGTGGGAACAGATCCTGCGTAGGGGTAGATAACGAATTTCTCACTTTTGCCTTCGTTATTTATATGACCGGAGAGAGGAGAGAGGAGAGAGAGAGAGAGAGAGAGAGAGAGAGAGAGAGAGAGAGCGAGAGAGTTAATTTTTCTGAACTGAGAACAATTAAAATTTTAGGTGATGGAATATTTTCGTCTAAAATTTTACGACTTCACGTGGTGTGCGTTTCTCTCAGAAGGTTATTAAGAGAAATATAATGGGCTTTGAACAGTTAAAACTGAAGTACACATTGGCATAGCATAAAATGTCGTATATTATACAAGTGAATTGTTTAGAAATATAATAGTTCATTATATACTATTTATTGTACCTTTTATAAAAAAAATTAATTATATATATTTGATAATTTTGTTAAGTTATATGCTTATAAATTATAATTTGTAAGCATACGTCATAAAAAAATAACGTCAGTTTAAAGACACGTATAAATTCAACATTAATGTACAGTAGTTTTTCTTTTGTTTTTGTTGCAGTCACCGTTTTAAGACATATAAAGACAAAGTGGAACTCTTTAATTCCTTTTTTGGTTCGGTATTTGCAGCAAAAAATGACGTATCTGCCTTAAACGGGTCGGGAGAAAAATAACTAGACCACGTGATCTTCGAGAAAGAATAGTGAGAATTGGAAATAATAAATCTGTGGGCCCGGACGGCATTTGGGGAGACTTATTAAAAGCAGGAGGTGAAGCCATGATTCCTTACCTCTTAGAACTTTTTTATAATACATTAAATAATTGAAGTATTCCTCAGGATTGGAAACAAGCATTTGTAGTTCCCATTTATAAGGGTGGGTTTTCATCAGAAGTTAGAAATGATCGGTCTGTTAGCTTAACATGAGTTGCCTTTATGCAGATAGAGCGCCTAATCGCTGAACACATTAAAAACGAGTGGAGTAGACAAAATTAGCTCTTTATGGGGCAGCATGTGTTCAGAAAGGGTTACTCATGCTCATGCTGAATCAAAAAATGTTTTTTTGCTGACTACTGCCTTATTAACAAAGATCGAAAACTTATAAGTTGCTCGGAAGAATGGACGGAAATCAATAGCATTAAAGTAAATACAAATAAATGCAAAATAGTGTTACGCGTGGTAGAAATAAAGGGACAGCTAAGTACGAAGTAAGTCGTATTTGCTTGGTGACAAGATCATTCCACAGGTAACTAGTTGTAAATATCTGGGGTGATAATTAATGAACAGCTTGGATGGGGGTCAACTTTACTGTTGCCAAGGCATGGAATTTTTTTCACTTTGTAACGCGATTGTTAAGGAAGGGAAGTAGTAAATCACTGGAACTAGCATATACAATCATTGTGCGTCTGGTATTAGAGTACGGAGCAGCGTGTTGGGATCCGTATAGAAAGTGCCAAATAAATTCCATCGAAAGAGTTCAGAAAGAAACAGTAAAATTAAATAAAGGGGAAATTTTTTAGTAAATATTTCCAACAAAGTATCGACATGGGAATCTTTGGCGGGCCGTAGGGAAAAAGAAAGGTTGTGTATATTTTAGAAAGCATTAGAGAAAAATCCGACGTGGAAGGAAATTCAGGAAATAATGCATGAACCCGTTTACTTAGCACATCACGACCATATTAGAAAAATACGTCCACGGAAACAAAGAACTTATGTTGGAAAATACACTTTCGTAAATAACACTACCGGGTCATGAAATAGTTAGCCAGCAGCACTAATGAAGACGTTTCCCACAAACATCAAGTCTTTTATGTTAATATTAAATTCTAGTAATAGTGTTATAAGCAATAAGATCAGTTCTCTGTGAAGGGCCAGGCATTTAGTAGGCATGCCTTAAATGAAATAATATTGTACTATGTATTGTATGTATTTTAGTGTTTTTTATTGTATCATTTGTATAATAAGTGTGAAGAATTTACCTCCGGGCTTAAAGCCCAAAGCAAATTAAATAAATTATCTAAATCTAAATGTCTATCTCTAATTCTTTCGATGTTCTCACACATTTTTATTTTTCAAAAATAAGTGTAATTCTTTTAATAATGTAAGTGTACTGTAATGCACGTCAGATGATTAAAGACGTGATAAACTATTCCACATCGTCTCGAATGGCCAAACATATCATCAGCCCATTCTTACCGTTTAGCCTTATCTTAAATGTTCACTGAAAGCCATCAGAAGCAGGAACAGTTTAAAGGCTCGAGAAACAGGGAAGAAATCCGACATATTTATTTACATTAACTGATTTAACATAATTAAAATTTGTATTTTCAACCTCTCGACACATTTTTTTACTAAGAGAATTACACACATTATATACAAGCCGGTGACGTTTTGGTATGGACAGAGAAAGTACATTTTGGCCCGTAGATGTCAAACGCTTGATAAAGTTTACGTTGATAAAGTATTCGCATCAGTCCGAGAGACCGAAAGTCATCGTTCGCTCGTTCTTCACGCCGCCGCGCCCGCCCCATCCTGTGCGAGAGCTCATCAGGCAAATGTCGCTCCGCCTAATCGCGGCGGACCGCGCCCGCGCGAGCTGCACTTGCTACAGCGATCCATCTTCGTTCCGCCCGCGCCGCCGCCTGAGAGCGCGGCCTCGCGCCGTGGCCCTGTCAGCGCCCCCTGGCCCACGCCTTCTTGCCACGGCCCCGTGAACTCGCGCGTGCGATCGTTAGCCGAGGAGGTGGCGCTGAGAATGGAACTGCCTGCACGGGCAGGTCTGTTTTAGTTCGTGTCGCTTACCCACGAACTGACACAGGGGATGATAATGGGCTTCGGAAGAGCCAAGAACTTCGCGATGATAACGATAATGTGGCGACTGGAGTACCTGCAAAAGCAGTGAAAATGCTGCTTCTATCTAAGTGAACAGTACTGAATTTCAATAGGGAATAAGTTGAATTTTGAGATTCAGTAGAGGCTGTGCATGCCGTTCGGACCTCTCATAGCCGAGGAGGTGACGCTGAAACGGAACTGCCTGCGAAGGCGAGTCTATCCGCAGGAGTAATAAGAATCTCGCGTCACTAATACTGGAAATGACGCTGACGATTACATTGCTCGTGGAACTAACAAGGTTCTGCGTCAATGGTAATAACTACGGAGAGGATTTTTAAGCCCTAAACATTCTAAAATATGCACTTTAATGTGTAATTAAAATTAACAATATTTCATTACCTGCATAAACCTTCCTTGATAAAATTCAGAAGAAACGTGTTTGGAGTGAAAAGTTATATTTTTGTGCAAACATAATATAATTTACCTTTGCGGGAGAAATAATTAATGTAAATATTCACCTTAGTGAAGAACACTGTATACCTTTGTTGCATTTCCTGATTTAAAAACATATGAAAACAAGATATTTCTTACATTTTTCCTAAATGTTTCCTACAAATAGATTGTATAAAAAAGTGAAAACTGTTTTAGAAAAAAGTCTGTACTTTAACGAAATATGCAAAATATGTTCCTATAATTACACAAATATGCACTAACATATGAATCTACATAGCATCCAGCATCCAGGAATTTCATTTACCTATGCCCTGAAGCTACGTACAAAAATATGCAAAAAAACATAGAAATTCGCTTC